AACTTACCTAATGAGAAAATACCAGACATGTTATATGTCTGGTATTTTCTCAGTTTGTTTTTTATGTGTTTATATTTTTGGGCTGCAAAAAGCAGTATTGGAAAAAAAAAGGGTTCCAACTAAAGTAAAAAGTTTGGGAAACCCTGGTCTAACCAGCTTTCTGTCTGTCTTACAGTCCATTTATCCAATCCATATTCCTTAACTTGCTGGCAAGAATATGGTGGGTGACCCTATCAAAAGCTTTGCTAAAGCTGGCACTGGGGGTTTTGGGAGGACCAGAAACAACTTATTTGAATATTCATCATTTGACTAATGAATATGCAAATGAACATTACCAGTCCCCCAAAAGTTCGTGAATGGATTTACTGATCCCCGTGTCAAAGTTTGGGAACCCCTGGTCTAAAAGTTAACTATGACCCAGTACTGGAGAATCTTACTGCCATTTACTTATTTAGTAGATATTACACTAATATACTGAAATTCTTATTTTAAGGAAAAGGGTTGAACTAACAAACCTTCAGCATGTAGTAGAAAGGGAACCAGGACAGAAAGATGTCAGAGAAGAATTCTGCTATGCTGAAGATGCCATACACAACCCAATAGGTCAGCCACTGTGTGTCGTCATCTTTGTTGGGGCTTTCAATAGCCTTGATTCTGAAAAGGAAAGCATAATAGTTGAGTAGGTCAGCAATAGCACCTCATTTACAAAATACACTGATCTGTACCAAATGTGTTAGGATATAGTGGAGAGACTGATCGCTTTGATTTGCCTGTGAATATTTACATGGGAGGATGAGATGAATAATTTTTTCCACACTGAGGACTTGCCCAGATAGGAACACAAGAACAGCCACACTGTGTCAGACCAAAGGTCCATCTAGCCCAGTGTCCTGTCACTGTAAATTACTCACAGGTTCCATATAAAGCAGCACAGGGATTAGCCCCCCTCAATTGGAATGCACCTAGTTCCTCTGCATACTAAATATTACAGTCTAAACCAGGGATGTAAAATCCCTTTTAACTGCTTAACCACTTAAACCTTATGATTAACCGGTTAACTGATTAAAGGGGGCTGGAGCGCCCCTGCCACAGGTAAGGACTGCTCCCCTGTTGGGCACCCAGGATCCAGACACTGGAGCCACCTCCTGCCCATAGCGGGCCCTCCGCAGGATTGGAGCAGCCCCTTGCCCGGCAGGCAGGGAGCTGCTCCAGGCCCCACCAGTTAATGAGAACCGGAAATCATCACCCATTAAGGGTGATATTTACTAGTTAGCCTTTCATATCCCTTGTGTAAACAGTAGAACCAAAATGGTTAGCCTTTCCCTTGTGTAAACAGTAGAACCAAAATGCAGATCTGTGCAAAGCTACTGATGTTATTGTACTAGTTCCCTAGACCAAAGCCCAACTCTCTGGCCTAACAGTTTTAAAGTGCAATGATTACTTTAGCACTCTTCTATACAATGATTCTGCATGAGCAAAACCCAAATTTCACATAACTAGAGACAAAAACATGAAGCTATGTTGTTGACCTTCATGTTATATCAAAACCCACCATTTACTAGTGAAATGCAATATAAAGGTTTAAACAAACTAGCTATCATTAGAAAATTAGCATTTAGATTCAAGAAAGTCTTACAACAGCCTGACTATAAAATAAACTAATGCACTCTTCAAAAAATAACTTAAAAAATAATAAGATTTATTTGGGCATAGGCTTTCATGGGTAAAAACCACTTTGTCAGATGCAAGTTTATGCCCAAATAAGTCTGTTAGTTTTTAAGGTGCCATAGGACTCCTTGCTGTTTTTTGCAGATGCAGACTAACATGGCTACCCCTCTGAAACTCACTCTTGTTATTCTGTGGCCGAGAAGAAAGTTAATCACCTTTATTTTAAATTGGATCTGAGCATCTAAGGGTTCTTCTACACAGCAACATTATTTTGGAATAATTAGTGTTATTTTGAAATAAGTTATTCCGCATCTACACAGCAGGCAGTTTTTCAAAATAATGTCGAAATACTGGCACCCTGAGAACTTTACTCCAGCCCCCGTAACCCACACTGTATAAGGAGTAAGAGAAGTAGGAGGAAGAGTGCTCTATTTTGAAATGAGTGCTGTGCAGGTGCTCCCTATTTCAAAATAAGCTATTTCGAAATAAGATACGCAATTGACGTAGCTCAATTTGCGAAGCTTATTTCAAGTTAAGCCCTGCAGTGTAGATGCACCCTAAGTGTTGTAAATATTGAATCTTATAGGCCTTGAATTTTCTAGAGAGTGCAATCTAGAGGTTCTGTAATATGTGGAAAGAAGTTCTAGATGGAGGGCAAGCAACTACTACACAGTGCTTGAGAAACTGGATATGCAGTTTGACCCAAACCATAATAACCTGGAGTTTATGTCTTTACATCAGAGGGTCAGCTACTGAGGAGAGTGTGGCGATCCAAGAATCCTATGTGTTACAGAGAACTCCTATGAAGTGTTATTATTTCAGGCAAGTTAGAGGGAAGTTCCAAAGACGGAGTCGTTATTAAATAACCCAGGTTAACAGATACACAATTTGTGAAGGTGGTTTTAAGACAGCTCCCACATGTTCTGGCTCCCACCTGCTGCCTCTGTATCAGAGGCAACAGCATAGGGGAGCAATCAGCTTACTAGGAGCTGGTATGCACCTGTAGCTGGCTTTTAAGCAGCAGCTGGTTCCTTGGGAGATGCATGTAACAGTTTGGGTAACTGATTACCTGTTTAAATGGCTACACTCTTACCCCCCTAGTACTTACCCAATTTGGTTTGTAATTTTCCATATACAATTCCTACTATTGTTTGTTATTGAGCTGAGAGTGAGAGGAGAATCAGTTGCATGAGGTTTTCTCTTAAACGTCTGTAATGCTTACTGACCCCTGTAATTCATGGCTATTGACAGTTCTGCCTTTGAATACCACCTCTGTTTTATGAAATGCTAAATGCCTTATAGTGCTTCAGATCCTGGTTCTACAAGTTTAAAAAAAAAAAAATCAATAATGTGATGCTTCAGATCCTGGTTCTACAAGTTAAATAAAAAAAAAAAAAATCAATCATGTGACAGGGTTTACGGGTTAGAATAAACAATGGAAAAACCCTCCCCGGTTGACTTAACTGTTTAACCAAATTATCTTGAAGCACAGTATGGCACAAAGATATCGATTTAACTTGTTCATTATCTGGACAGAATAAACATCCTCAACTTTTCTGAGATCCTACAATTGGCTATTAACAGAATATGCCTGCCATGACCCACCCAGCACAGTTGTGGTGCTCAAGCCACTATGCAGGCAAAGCAACTGGAAGAACAGGTTTGTCAAAGAGTGCTGTTAAGGATTGCATTTCCACTCCACTGCTGCACCATAATTACACTCCTTGGAGTGGAGGGGATGTGGAGCAGTGACAGATAGGAGAGGGAGGAGAAAAGAACTGCATTGATGGACGGTCTAAGGGCAAAGCCTTCCGCAAGTTTAATGCCAAAAAGGGACCTAAAATCGTGGCAAAGTTTTTGCACCACTTTAGTGTTGCAGTCTGGAAATTCTTCTATAGTTGCATTTACATTAGAAATGGACATTTGAGATTGTGGGATAAGCACACCAACTGGATATTTGTGCTAAAGCAATCAACTGTTTAATTGTTAGCAATTTTGAGGCATGCTACAGGGCTCAGGAAGAAACTATTGCACACAGAAAGCTGAAGGAATAGAAGAGAACAGAACAGAAATGTGAAATCCAAGAAGTGAGGGAGACACCAAAAATGAATGAATAGCTGACAAAGCGAAATTATATTTGGATTAGCTCTAGTTTGGTCAAATAGCAAGAGTTAAACAAAGGGGCTGCCAAGTGCCATCTGAAGTGGGAGGAGTACACACGGTATGTGTGGAAGAACGAGTCTGCACATAACGGAGCCAGTCCCCAGCTCAAGGGCCAGAAAGAGTTCAGACCACGGCCTAGGCCACAAAGCTGGGGGGCCACTTTTCTCTAAACATTTGTTTTTGGGTAGCATCCATGAGGTGCTAGGTGCTTCAAACAAACAAACAGGATGAGGCAGTCCTTGCTCCAAGGAGCTCAGACTCTCAATAAAGCAGTTGATTTTCTTGGACGTTAGCACAGCGTTGCCAACACCGTGATTTTATATCATGAGTCTTGAGATATCCAGGTATTTCTCTTAAAGCCTGAGATCCTGGAATTATGCAATCGATCATATGAGAAATTAAGGCATTTATTTTTAAGGCAGGGAGAGGAAAGAGTAAAATTCTAGCCCTGCTGCTTTCAAATAAGAGCATGAAAAACATGAACCTTTACAAAAACTCAAACTATATGGAAAATAAAATTTTATCCAACGGGTTTTTTTAAATTATGTTTTTAAGCTAACCTCAACTAGAATGCTTGAAGATGGGAGTATTGAGAAACTCAGTCTCTCCCAAACTGTACTACAAATGTAGGAATCCTTTGAAAATGGTGTTGATGGGAGAAGAGTACTTCCCACCACACCAACCTTGCACCAAAGCTGAAAGCAAGCACTTGTTCCTAAGAACAAATGTTTTGTGTTAATGCCTGTGCTGTACATTGGCAACGATGAACATGAAATAGAGGCATATAGATAAACCCCACAATTATGAGTAATAAGTGGGATATTTGGCTTTATAAAACAAGACAACTTTTTATGGTTATGTACAATCAAAGGAGGGGTTTGTTACCCAACTTTCTGGTGTATCTACATTGTGCAGTTAACCTGAGCTCTTACTCAGATTTAACCTTAACTCTTCCCCTCTCCAGTTACTGTCCAAGCAGGGCAGCAAAATTACCTCTCCCCTAGGTCTGGAAGTGAGTTAACCCCAAAGTTAGCTTAATTTCCTCAGACTCTGCTTTAACTTGAGCTAAAACCGACCCACTTTGCAGAAAGGATGCAAGCAACAACAAAAAAATCACTCTAGTGTAAGTAATCCTCCCATAGCCTTCCTACAATTCCCTACTAAAGGACGCACAACTTTTCCCTTAATTCAAAACAGACTGGGGGGGGGGGGGGTTAGGCTGTTTCTCATTACTAGGAGCCCTGGGATATGTCCCCAGATACACAGGCAAGTGCAAATACAGTAAGCAAAATAAGGCTGTGTGAATGTATCCAACAGCTCTGGACTAACCTAGATGCCCAGAACCATGTGCTAGTTACAGAGATTAACTGTGAATCCTTAGTATTTGTCTATTGATCAGCTGACAACATTCAGTTCACAGGTAGAGTTATATGCACAGCAAAAACCATAACAACCCTGTTCTGAAGCTGTCCTATTTAGATACTATGGGACGAAGTCCACTGAGGAAGAAAAAAAAAAAGATGGCATCTGCCATCATTTTAGAGATACCTGTCACCCTTTCTAAGGTATCGTGCAACACGCCAGCTGAGAGTAAGTACCAAATACATTTGTCTCTAATATGTATATAGTATTATTCTTTATTAATATACTGTTGTGAGGGAAATGGATGAAATGTATAATCTCCGCTGATGTCAATTTATAGCTGCAAGCTAGGGTGGTTAGAAGGGGCAAATATTTGGAGTTGTGACCTGCCATACAGGCAAACTCTAAACACCCCATCTGCCAAGACAAATCTCAAGTGTAGATCCATTTTTGGCACAAGA